CAGCTTGAGAGGTCTCAAATATTTTTTTTCTCAAAATATACCTTGCGTGGAAAAAGTATTCACTACTCAGATATTCATACAAACTGCAGTATTGCAATAAAAAAATTGCAAACATAACACATTTTGGATAAATTCTTAGAAGCATATGTGGCAGTATAATTGCAGTAATATTACTGAGCTTCAAACACCTTACACAAGAACCTTTACTCAACATGTAGACCAAGATTGGTATAGAACGTACTTTTGAAACAAATTTTTTCACAAACAGCACCCAAACGACATCCCGGAAAGTTCCGAAGGCAACCACGTGACCAAACATTTTTTTCTTTCCGAAATATCCTACCGTTCACTGCTTTCAATACAGTTAATCAGCACAATATTTTTCGAATGCATTTGAGATGGTCAGCCAAAATGGCTGGGCGTTTGGCATGAAATCACCCTAACAGCGTGTCATGAACACAGAAAAAGGTCCTATGCTTATTAAGCCCTTTATTTACCAAAAAAATGTACTGAAAGTGCCTCCTCTGAGGCACTGTATAATGCTGCTTTTTTTCACAGTTCTAAGGCGGCTGCACATGCTATTGTTGTTTACATGTGCAACAGCAGCATTCATATCTAGTAGAACTCGCTGTTGGGATAGTTGGTGCATGTTTGCATTAAATATTAGTCAATTTTACGCCAAATTACGACCACACAAACGAAGAAAACACATAACGGGATGGGCAGTCATTTGCAATTGTTTAGTTCTTTAGGAAACAGGCTGATATAAAACCACTTTTTGTCAATGCTTGTGCAACCTACTCGGGCTGTCCCTTAGCTAATCACGCTATAGGACACATGATCGCTAGATACCGTGCTTCCAGCTCATACATGATGAGTGAAGTTTTGCTAACGCAATTTTTTTCCCAGTTTCTTTTGTGAAAGCCTTCAAAATTGCTCTTGGTGTGAATCCACATGAAGGGACAAGCGCTCTTGAACGGGCACCGTGTTGTTCTTTGCCGTAAGGGCGTGTTCCCTCGCTCGATCATGGACGCAGCGCCTCGTCGTCTGGCTAACATGTCTCTTTCTGTCCATGTGTTTTCTTTGTGCGGTCGTGGTTTCGTCGCGAAATTGACTATTAAATTCAGGCATTCATGTCTATTTACAGCACATGTTTAATGTCTGTAGCACAATATTACATGATATTTTCGTATTCATATTTACACGTTCAAGAGAACAGCAGCCGCACCAATTGTGTAATTGGACACAATTTCTTAAATTTGCACAAAACCATTACGAAATGCCCAACCTGTCTCAATTATTTCTCAGTATTGTTAATTTTATCAAGAAACATAAAACCCATTATTCAATGTAAGTTTGTGCATTACCATCCAATTGATTGATGTGTGCAGTTTAATGTCGTAAAGCCACCATTTGATTATGAGACGCCTTAGGGGAGGGCTCCAGAAATTTCGACTGCCTGGGGTTCTCGTGCACCCAAATCTAAGCAAATGGGCCTACAGAATTTTCGCCTGCATGAAAAATGCAGCTAGTACCTTGGCGACTAAACCATCGAGGCGGGGTCATCATCATACAATCTAATACAGATGTGCCAGCCGTAATTACAACTTTAAATTGACTATATTCTAATCTCACAGCAAAAGAAAACAGTAGAACGGTTTAAAAGAAAGTTCCCTCCCCCTTTCTATGACGTCTATAATGCTTATTAAGTCGCTTTTGCCAGAGTACGCTTTCACTCTGCGGAAAAGTGCTTTTTGATTTGGAAGTGGCTACTAATACTCACTGTCACAGGACACAAAATATTTTTTTCCCTATATTACTCTGCCATGCAGGTGCCGTTCAATAACGAGTACTAGTATAAGTGCTGGCCGTCTTTCAGATTGGTATGTGGGGTTCAACGTCCCAAAACCACTCTATGATTATGAGAGACGCCGTAGGGGAGGGCTCCGGAAATTTAGACCACCTGGGGTTCTTTAACGTGCACCCAAATCTGAGCACACGGGCCTACAACATTTCCGCCTCCATCGGAAATGCAGCCGCCGCAGCCGGGATTCGAACCCGCGCCCTGCGGGTCAGCAGCCGAGTATGTCTTTCAGATTGATTTATGAGGTTTTTGGAGCCTTAAGCGACGATAAAGAAAATCGTATGCCACTTTTTTCTTTTCACCACCCCCTTGAGCTCCTCCTTTACGACTATTTCGAATTATTGGGTCGCCTGTCAAACAGTTTGAGAAACTCGCCAAATGCTACTGCGAGTTTTACACCCGTATTTTAGAACGTCCCTTCACTAAATGCTTCACCTTGACTTGAGAAAATTGATTCCAGCGCAGTCTCTAGGCAGATCAAGTCACTCAATATCAGGGATAATCTGCAGCGATTCTCGAGAAATGCAGCGTCATTTTTAGACAAGCGGTGGCGCTGTGCTCAGCTAATACAAGTGAAGGATGAGATTCGAGTCTAGGAGCGTTCGTAAATAGGGAGGTTAGCATTGTTTGCACTGTGGGACATTTCAAGAGTGCTTTTATTGAAATAGCTGCGCTCTCGTGTATATTGAATGAATTAGCAGATATCAAATTATTTCTACATATATTTTTCCTTTTGTGTGTTTCAGTCTAATTTGTTGTACTACTGTAAATTTGGAGCCCCACAGCGGTGGTCTAGGGGCTATGGTACTCGGCTGCTGACCCCCAGGTCGCGGGATCGAATCACGGCTGCGGTGGCTGCACTTCCGATGGAGGCAGAAACGCTGTAGGCCCGTGTGCTCAGATTTGGGTGCACGTTAAAGAACCCCAGGTGGTCGAAATTTCCGGAACCCTCCACTAAGGCGTTTCTCATAACCATATGGTGGTTTTCGGACGCTAAACTGCACATATTAATCAATGCTGTAAATTTGGAATTTCAGGCTCAAAAATGCTGCGTTTCTTTTTCCTGAAACTTGCTCCGAATTTGAATTTTCTCCCTTGAAAAGCAAGATATAATGCTCCAAAATATTGCTCCAGATGATAGCTTGGCTGCTTCACCTCTGCTAGCTGTAAGTGGTTACTCTCTCACCCTGCTTTTGTATGTCCATTTTATGTTCTTTGATGTTGCATTGTTTCAGGGAGACATATTATGTGATGTGCTTGATATTTTACATCTATAAATAAATTATTCTGCATGGTTAGTATCTAGTGACACTGTTAAGCTATTGTAATTTTGTCCTATTGTTTTCACTCCTGTGTTATTTTTTCTCCAGTATTCTGAATGTCTGAACACACAAGGGTTATTGTGAAATGAAAATGCCATTTTAAGACTGTTTTGTCATTACATTCATTAGAATACCACTAGCCTTGCATAATATGCATAAGACGTGCCACAACCCAAGCAAACTGTGGTGTATCAATGTGGTAATTGTAGTGTGCATTGATATATTATTTCAGTATATCTGAGAAATAAGGCATGCTGTATTGCACTACTCTTCCTGCTGTTTGCTATGCTTCACTGCACTGTGCTTTTGTACTGCATTGAAACGTGTAAAATAGTTCTTCATTTTTAAGTGCAAATAAAGGCTCTTTTGTTGTACTTTGATATGCATGCATTGGTCGTTACAGCTCCATGCCGTACCATTGATGTCCGATTTCCGGTCTTGTTTTGTAGCAAATGACATTCTGCTCTGCACAATTGAAAAAGGCTTTTGATTAAGGTACAATTTGTCTCTGAAGCTTGTATGTGCTCTGTGCCTATTAAAATAAAGTTGATTTCATTTTGCACTATGGCATGACTTTGTGAACATTGTGTTATGTGTGACAGCTCATATTGACTGATGCCTTCGCATTCAGCTAGAAATACGTGTTATATGTGAAAGCCTTATATGCCGTGCTTCATATATGCACCATAAAAACTGTGCTAGGGCTAGGATTACTACACTGTGGCAGGAGCCACTACAATAGGACATCTGCACATGAAAGGTCTAGCTAAAGGGTAAGCTTTTATGTGCTTCTACAGGGGCCTACTGGAAAGGGGTAACGCTCGAATCATGGTATTTTTCGCATGGGTGTTGGGGCATTATTCAGCATGAACACCCCCACACCCTTTTTGCTGTTTGAGCAAATTACACCCCTACACCACTTGTTTTTTAAGGGTGTTAGGGTGTCATAGCTACATTACACCTATAAGCCCTTAAGATTACTTGGGTGTACATTCGCTTTTACGCCCTCACTCCCTTAGGGCCACTTGGGTGTACATATGCCTTTACACCCGAAAAAAAAAATGTTTGTGCCACAGGGTGTAAATTCGGAAATCCGCCCACGGTATAGGTGTAGTCCTGCTTGATACACTCATTTCGTGGGGTGTAGGGGTGTGAGTTATAGACACTATAAAACATCTATATGGGCGTAATTTGGTTTCACAGAGCCACGCCGGTGCTTTCACGACGTGTTGAAGGTTATGTTGCCTTATAGGGCAGATTTATCCGCATAATGACCACACGTGTTGACTCCTATGTTGCCCACATGTGCTGATCCTTCTTAATGATGACTAAAGCAACCATCAGACATTTTTAATCACCTTTCGGGAATTTTGTTTCGCCTTATGATTGTGTCGTTTGAAGTGCATGCATGTGCGTTTGTTTTTCTACATATGTGTGCTCGTGTGTTGATTTTACATGTACTACTGCTTGTATGCTTATGTCTTGTATGGCTCAACAATTTAAGAGCCAAGTAGTGGCCGGCGCATAATTTTTGCGTCATTATCTCTTTTTATATCATACCAATGAAAAACATCTGCCGGCCTGAACACAAATCCGCAGGTTCAATGCTTTTCAAGTGCAATGATATTCTGATGCGAGGAAAAGGAAAGAAAGTTCTTGTACTTTTATACTGTTGTACATGCGCGTCAAATAACACTAGTGGGTCAATATTAAGCAGAATCCTTGCATCACACGACTTCTCTTGTGGCAACAATGTTGTTTCAATTCCTAAACTCGATCAGACAATCAGATCAGACAGGATGTTCCATTGACAGGTTTTGGCTCGAGGCCGAGTGCTGAAGGCCGGCAAAGTCGCCGTGGAAAATGTGGTCGACCGCCGAGTGACCTTCGCTGTGACGCCGGAAATGACCCCGAGCTTCCGGGTCGTGGTGGTCGGCTTCCTGAATGGACGACTCGCCACAGACGCCGTCTACGTCAACGCCGAGCCGACTTGCACCCACGACTCTGATGTGAGTGGTCAGCTGGTGGGCACGCGCGTCGTGGAATGATGAAGTGTGGACGTGCTGTCTGTCGTAGTCGAAGCTTTTGTATATGGTGACGATTGTGCAGAAGCTGAGGCTGCTGTTGAGGATGACTATCGTGCCGAAAGCGAGGGCATTTGTGTTACACGCAGTGATCAAAAGGCTACCAATCGGTCGCTTCGTTAAGTGACACAGAGCAGGGTTGGAGTGTTGGCTTGTTGGCGCATTATTTTTAAGAAAATAGCGCGATAAGAAATTAATCCACGGCATGCACTTCCTTGTCATGGGACAGTGAGGCGCATCGTGGGGAGCCCCTAATATTAGGAGCCCTAATCAATTCACGCAGCAAAGTGTATATTTATGGTCAGTTAACCTACCCAAATTTCGCGTCTCACCTCTCTCTCTCTCTCTCTTGGAGTGCTACATATCCACCTTAAGACGCATCAAGCACAACCTTCAAGATAGCATTATTCGATATTATTGACCACCTTAAGATGTGAAAGGTTCCTTAGACAGAGAGATGGAGATACGTAAATAAGGATTACTAAGCAGGCAGGTTAGACGGAAGAGAAATTTCAGGTTTGCTCCTCCGAACTGTGATGAAAACAGCATGGAAAGAATACCCGAGACAAAATGCAGCCGTGCAGGAGGTTGAGGGAACAGCATATATAATTCTCTCTAATCGAGCAAGTGGACATAAAAGCCCTAATAATACCTCGATCTACTGGCGCAACTTTTCGGTATTCCTTAATTGCATGCACCAATAGCAGCCTGTCGTCAAAACGTGCGAATACGGCCGCTGCATGGCTGCCTGCGGATGTCTTTACATACAGAGGATAACGGCAATGCACACGACCGATAAATTCCTTGCATACAGAATGCTTGCGTGTGCCCGCGATAGGCATGATTTGCTCTTCTATGCGGCTTTGCACGCCAGCTCCGCACCGCTCATGGCATTGCGACCACCGGTGCAGTTTACGTTGACCAGAACGAACCCATACGATCAGCCGGCACCTGGTTCAACTGAGACGCTGGTACTGAAGGGGACCCCTGGGACACGCGTCGGGCTGCTGGGAGTGGACCAGGCTGTGTACCTGCTCAGGCGAAAAGACCTTCTCACTCGAGAAAAGGTAAAACTCTTTCGCATTTCGTGTGTACAGGGAAAACAGTATACGCCCACGTAACCATTGGCGTGCGCCAGGGGGGGGGGGGGGGCAGGCAGGGGAGTGTCGCTGCCCCGCTTAGTCATCTAAGAGAGGGTGGGGGGGGGGTAGTCAGTTTTGTGCACTGACATAATAAAAAGGAGAAGGGGCGCTGAAATTCAGGCGGGTGCAAATTCAGCCCCGTGTGTTGAAATATTAGAGAGAGGGGCACTGCAATGAATCTCCGCCTACCCCCTCATCCCCCTTTACGGGAACCCAGCGCATGCCTACGCACGTAACGATATTTTAAGAGCACTAGTTCTTTCCTTTCCGCTGTGTGAGAGGGTTTCACTGGCCCAATCAGCGTGCTGATTTGTTGCACCAGTACTCAGTGGTTGCGATTGCACTATTCATATTGCATGCTGGGACGTAAATAGTGGAGTGCATTGTGCAATGTGCGAGTGAATCGAAGATTAATGTTAAATGTTCCTTGAATGGTTTATAGTGCACTAAAAACACTCAAGTATACCTTATGCATTGCATTTTCGCATCAGATTTTGCTTACCGACTGCTACCGTTTTATTTGGGTTTTGTTATATTCTTCGGGACACGATTAAGTCCTAAAATTAATTGTTACCGTTTCGTCTGCCGCAATCTTTATGGTCAAAACCACATTGAAATACCGTTGTCATCGAACGGGCGTGGAGTGTGTGAACTGTGATTTTTGGTCCGGCCTAATACAATAGCGAAAACTTTTTTAATATTCAACTGGTCATGTTTGCAATATAAATTGATACACACAGCATAATATTCATAACTTGGGCATTTTAGACACAAATCAAACATCAGGAATAACTTAGCGAAATATTCGTAAGCACATAACTCTTCAGACAGTGCAAATGGTCGTCGTACAAACGAAAGGTCTGTGCTCCTCTTGCGCAATTTATAATGCACAGGCCCATAATGCTCTTCTTGTCTCCTAGGCCTATAATGCATACAATACTAATGCTTATAAATAGAAGTAATGGGAGATGTAAGCTTGCGATGAAAAATTCATAAACAGGGTTTGTGTCGAGCCGACATTTTGACAAGCAGATTTGTCTTCCTCAAGGCTAGATCAGTTCCAGCCTTGAGGAAGACAGGTCCACTTGTCAAAACGTTGGCTCAACAAACCCCTGTTTAAGACTTATAAGGCAGTTACAGCGTTTTATGCCTTAACTACGCCAACGGTAATCAAATAAATTTTTCGCTAACTTTGTAGTTTTCATGATGATTCGGACAGTTCGAAATATGAATAAGTTATTAGAGAACATATTCGTATATGGGCACTTAGCCCTGTTTGATTCGAAGGCGGAATGCTATTAGGTCCGTTGAATATTCCTATTATTTGCACAATGTGACAAATAAAAAATTCTTAGCAACCTGTCTGCGTATCTTTAAGTCATCGTCGTAGCTGTGCACTTGAGTGCATTCCAGAAATATTTACGACGCTACTGCATGGCTTATTTCTCTGCAAGTGAATAAATCGTAGCCTTCAACGTTTGCCTTCATTGTCCAATAATTATGCATGTTAAATCATTTAACGTAATGAGTAGCTTGTGCTGCAAATTAACAAAGATTTTATATAAAAAATTTTCGTGGATGCAGCAGACGTTTGCCAAAAATAGAAGATCGACTGCCTGTTTCATTCATTCGAGACTTGTGAGAGTGCTTCCGAACAGGGTGTGTTTGGGTTGGTTTTACCACAGGTGTTTCAGTCCATGGAAGCAAAGGACCTCGGTCGTGGCTTGGATGCTGGCACAGCTACGTTTGACACACTGGCCAACTCGGGCGTTACGGTGCTTTCCGCCCACGGAACACGAGGCGGCGCAGGCAAGCACTTGTCTCGGCACTGCTGTCTTTGGGGGACTGGTTCACGCAGACGCAGAGACCGCGGGTCATTAGGCGTGCTTCTGAAACTTCTCGGTCGCTGAAAACTGAAGTTCGGGAGAAGGGGAAAACTTGGCCAGATGAAAGAGAGAGAGATAAATATGTAAGGAAAGGCAGGGAGGTTAACCAGACGCACATCCCGTTTGCTACCCTGGACTGCAGAAGGGATAAAGGGGAGAAAAAATAATTTTCTAAATGTTACTGTCTCTAGAGCTCAAGTTTCGAGAAGTCCTCAAGGAGCGACTACAGGCCCTAGCGCGTGCGCGTGCATGCTTCGTACACACCCCCTCCATCAAAGAAAAATAGTAGGACAGAGCAATTGCGAGAACGAGGGGCGAAGGAGGGAGAAGAAAAGAGAGTGGTTGGGGGAGGGTATTGAGATGACCTGGCTTGCCGAATGGAGAAAGTACGTTAAGGTACTGCGCCGTGTCGCCTGTAGGCAGACAGAAATTAGGTGCCTTCTTCCTTTTCCTCAAGAACCACTAACAACAAGTACGTCAGTGAAAAAAAAAAAAGGTACACAAAGGAAGAGAAGTGGGCATTGCGCTGAATCATGAGACGCTTATTTTATTCAGGGACACTACAAGCTAAAGCTTGGCGACACACCTCATTCAGTCCAGCAAGTAATGACTCATATGAAAAATGGGGAAGAGGGGCGGATTTTGCCAAAGGGGGCCCTAACCTACATGGAGCGTTTATGTTTACATGTCAAGAGATTGCGCATGAGCGCCCACGAAGCTGATCCCCAAGCAATTGGGTGGACCCATCTTAAACACTGGTGGAGTTGCCTGAGCCCTATAAAGCTCTTACAAAATCCTTAAATTCTGATTGAGTCCGAATGATTGTGCGCTTACGATATGGCGTTGTTACGTAAGCATTTCGCGGTAGGTGACGTTATCTCAGAAGCGCCTGTTCACATTGTTTACGCCTATGCTGACGTTATGAAAGCCAGTTGTCGCAGTCTTCGAGTGTGAGACATTTGCGTTTGTCTGTGTGCACGTGACACCATGCTCGTTAGCCTAATTTCTGCTCAAAGGTCCTTTGTGATATATAATGCCGATAAAAATCTCGCTGTGTACTAGTGCAATGTATTTCTCTCATTCTCAATCCTGCCCTTCGGGCGAAACTGTAATTTTTTTTTGCTTCTCAGTTAAACGACTTGCGCATTAAGTCGGGTTTACATCGAACATAACCTCGAGGAAATGAATAACCTGAAATAGTTTTTCGCGCTTTCACTGCCTTCATTAAAGGTGCCATGAACCACTTTTCTGAATAATCATCGAACGACTTTGGTATCATGGTTTACTCCCTCACGAATCGACTACCGCACAAATTTCACGACTCCATCAAAAACTAGTGGAAGCTGTGTCTGCTGTCCATTGGATGTGTATTCTCATGAAGGCCGAGTGGTGGTTCACGATTCCTCTAAAGCACTCTAAACAGCCCAAACTGATAGGATGATCTGAATTAAAGTAGTCTAGAATGATCAGAAGTGTTGTAGTTCGGGCGAGTTGGTCATCCATGGACTTAGCTCATACTAGCGTCGTACATATAAGAAAGAAACACGGCACAGACGAGGAGTTATGTAGGCGCTAAAATTACAACAGCTTATTTTATGCCATTCACACCCATCTTATGCATGCGTATTCTTTTCTTCTGTGCCGTGTTTCCTTCTGAAATGTACCGCTCTGGTACAACCTAAGTTAATAGACGGTTTTCCGCACCGGTGAACGAGTGCTGCCACGTTTGAACATGTGATCTAATGGCCTTCTCATTTCCACTTCCGCTTCACTGCCGCCGACGTGCGGCCGATTCGCCACCGCTGCTTCCGGGTTGAAGGCCACCAAAGCGGGCGCAGCGCTTATTGGGTCAAGTTCTGACATGACAGACAGTGCGGTGAGCGCCGCTGTTTGACATACTCTCACATAGTCGGCCGGCAGCGCACCGAGCTCAGCAAACTGCTAAGAAGACATACTTTTTTGCTACGCTCGCCCGCATAGTCCGCGGAGGAGACCGGTTTCTCGCTGTGTCTGCAGGGCAACGTCTGTGACCCAATGTAAATGGCAGTGTATAGGTGTTCTGTGGCTGCTTGCCACACGCCACATCGCGTCCGCGCCTCCTAGAAGACTATGGTGCTTCAGTGCAGTGGCGCCATCTAGTTTTGCTTTGAAACACTATAAAATGCTTGCTTCGTTTTTGTTTTGGTTTTTTGTTTTTTCAGGAGATGGTCCGCGTCGCTCAAAACGGGAAGTTACCGCTAACATCTGTGAGTGATAGTTCTGTTTTTTTAAGGAGACATTTTAGTGTACACGAACGTTAGAGGAATATTCTTGTGGATTGATTCGGTGGCACCTTAATTTGCGCTTGCATCGCCGAGTGATTGTCATTCACAAGCAGTATTCATTAGAATGACTGCAGCTACACTGGTATTTTCAGCTTATACCACCTTACTAGATGCTTTTATGATTTTAACCACTTTGTACATCAAAGGGATTTTGCGTTGACAGAGAACTGCCTATACACTAACCGCACGACATATTAAAATCAGGTGCACACATTTAAGTGCGTTGTCGCAGTGAATTTTATCGCAATATCAATGAGAACCGTAACACACACTGGTGCCTAGAGAAGTATAGGAGATGTTATTCAAAGTAATTGTAATGTCAAGGTGAAGAAAGAAAAGTGGACGAAAAGATAACTTCCCACCGGCAGGATCCGATCCTTCAATCTTATACGATTGTTTGGCAACAAGTGAGAAGTATTCCACAAAAAAAGAAAAAAAAAGAAGTGGCATATTCAGTGGGTGTTACTCTAATCGCCATACAAAGGAGCTTCTTCGCATCTTCGCCTTATGATATGCAAGACTGGATGCTTGATTCTCAATATGGCAGGTTACAAATATATTTACAGCAGAAGCGACTACTGTTGGTGCTCAGTAGCGTTTGTCATTCATTACTCTGCTTCAGGTGCCGCTCCTAGACAGCACGGCTATCATTGTCAAGATAATGATGAACATATAGAGGAAATATGCATAACTCACGTTGACACGACATAAGTGTGCGTGCTGCGACAATCTCTTGCTGAGAGCGCTAGCCTTGCTTTGTTGAAGGACAAAATTTCGGTTCCTTGATCGGGCACCCCGGCAGAATATTAGGCCTGTTCTCGAGTTCATTTTATTTTATAGAAGTACAGCCGTAGCCGGGGAGGGGGGGGGGAAGCATTGTTTTTAATCTATCCGCGTTGGCGGTGGATGCAGCCGCCGACAAAATAAACCTTGTAAACCGGTCTCTCACAAAAAACATAGCCACCTTTGTGAATCATCCTCACCTTGTGCAAAACGCAATCATTTCGCGACAATAACGCTCTTCGTGCTTGTACGTACTGCATGATAACACGTGCATTTCTGTGTCACTCCGCTCCAGTGGAACAGTTCGAAAACGAGACGCTCCGAAACTGCTGCTCCAGTGGCCTACTGAAGGACCCATTCCTGCGCAGCTGTGAAGATCGCGAGGAAGCCCTGCACAGTTACTTGGTCGCCGGCAGAGCCCTCTACTCGGAGAAGTGTGTCGAAGCATTCGCCACGTGCTGCCAACACGTCGAAAGTAAGCGCTATCCTCCCTCGAGCGTATACACGCTCGGAAAGGCGAGTTTAGCCACATGTGCAGGTTATAAGGTCGTTTCAGTTCTCCCGACCATGCTTTTCGAGACAGGTAGTTGAAAAAGTAGCCTTTAAGGTTGCGTCATTTCCTTCGAGAGTGAGAGAATCGCTTTTACTGTTTGGCGATGTGTTCGTAATCTTGTTTTTTGTAAGCGGAACTATGGCTATCTGGGTCGGAGTCTATTAGCAAGCATCTCGCATTTCCTTTAACAGCGAACCAGTTTAAGTTCGACAGCTTGACCGCATCAACTAGGCCAAACTGAAGTTCTCCTGGAGCTGTTTAAGGCTTAGGTTCCTTGTGCACACTATCTAGCTGAGCTGCGAGAGTGAATCTCGAAGATAAAAAGAGCGTGTGTGTAAACGTTTCCAGTAACTGGTCAGCTAAGCGGTTGGGAGGGAAACAGAGTATGCTATAGTCGGATATAGCTTTAGGAGTCAGCGGCGTTTCCCTCTTGAAAGGAAGATGCATACAAGCCTACACGAAAGGGACGCGCACTCCCGACTGACGTCTTGAGTCGGACGACCGGTGACCCCCGTTTTTGGAGAACATTGCCGAGTGCGCGGCAATGTTCGTTGCTCACGGCAATTTTGTTACTCGCGGAGGTGATCATTGATTGATTTATATGTGGGGTTTAACGTCTCAAAACTACCATATGATTATGAGAGACGTTGTAGCGGAGAGCTCCGGAAATTTTGACCCCTGGGGTTCTTTTAGCGTGCACCCAAATCTGGGCACACGGGCCCACAGCATTTTCACCTTTATCGAAAATGAAGCCGCCGTAGCCGGGATTTGGTCCCGCCACCTGCGGGTCAGCAATCGAGTACCTTAGCCAGTAGACCACCGTGGCTGTCGCGCTTCGGTCGTCTGGGTGGGGCCTCTCTCCACGTCTTAAAAGAAATTCGGCAGCAACGAAAAGGTGGTGAAACTGTTTAGAGAGGAGGTGAGAAAAGGCAAAGCTATGGCGGGAATGAAGCAGGTGGAGTGGATAGGAAGTAAGAACAGGAGCGTGATTGTCTGTATCGTGAGAGTTCAGTCGGCCAACGCATGGTAGCAAGTGCTCTAGCACAGGTGGTGCTAGAAGGAAGTGTGCACCGAGTGTTCTAAGTAGGGGAAGAAATGCAAGCTGATGCCACTACAGCTACGCTGTTTAGTCAAGCCTTGCGATGTTATACGATGAAGCTGGGGATAAATTTTTTTCACAATAATTGCCTCGCGCTGAAGTGGGCATCAAAAGGGTCGCCTCACATAAATGGGGTAAATATATTAAAATCCTGGCATCATAATTCATAAGATGACGTTGCTTGTTTTTCTCTCTCTTCTAGTCACCTTTTGTTACACTGTTGTATAAGTACCATTGCACCACTTTACGCATGCGAGGAAACCAAATTAAACTTTCAGGTGAACGGGATCGTAATGCGTCGTTGGCTCAAATTAACCTCGAAGATAACTGTGCGGTAAATGTACATGCGCATCACCCATTCATGCCCCATCATCGCTGTTATCACTATTTCTCTCCCTTTCCCTTTTCCCACTGTGCTGCGAAGCTGGCCAGAGCGCACAAGCTCAAACGGACCTCTCGGCCCTCTGATAACTTCTCTCTCTCTCTCCTCAGCTGCACTTCTTTGATGATGCATTCATGAACCTATTAAAAGAAATGCATGGCTACGTGCGAAGACATGCTGAGATTAGTGTCACTGTTAAAACGATTGTTAGCTGTCTAGGGTTGATATATGTAATGCAACTATGCGTAGTGGTGCACTGTGAGATTCGTTAGAATGAAGACAGAGATGCACCGCTCGTCACACATCCAAGCGAAACGGTTGAGTATGCACAATTACGAGTTTGGTTGGCCTCAGTAATAGTGCTATCGACAAGTAAAGTTAAACCTCGTTAATTCGAACTCGGTTAATTCGAAATCCCGCTTCATTCGAAGAATTTCCGCGGTTTCGTATTTTAGAATGTAAGTTTTAGTGTATTGTTTGAAGGAACGGCCGGCACCGGTCCAGTTAATTAAAAAAATTTGGGTGCAATGTGCAAGTTTCAGATTCCGGTTTCGCCGCAAATCCGCCGAAACTACGGCCCTTAATAGCCACAAGGCAATGGAATGCAGCGATAATAATTAGTGGTAGCTGAAGTACACCAGCCTCGCTACTTCCAGCGCAAAAAAAAAGGGGGGGGGGGGGGGACGGTCTCGTGATCAATCAAAACTTGTGCTGCGGAAAATTGATTGTGCTTCACTGCAACACAGCCGTGACGCGCCAGCAGCATATTGCATGTTTCTAGCAACGTCAGCGGGTCGTGGTTCAATCATTGTTTCTGGGATCGTAAAACAATTAATAAAGGACAGTTTGGCGGAATTCGGGATGTATGCGAACGTCCGATTGCCGGTTTCTCCGGCCATTCTCTCCTTTGCACTGCTGGCGGAGTTCGTGCCAGCAGCACCTACTTCGCAAACTGAGTTCGAAAGTTTAAAAGATCGTTTTTCTCAGCCGGAACACATCGCGAGTTTCGTCATACTGGCCATTATTGAAGTCCTAATTATGCCAGAAAGAATGTGTGAATGGTCGCATCGTGACGTGCCGACGCAGCAAGGTGCAGGCGACATGCTACCCGCATGTCACTACTGTGTTGCAGTGAAGATGTCTTGTTTTCCACGCAGGCACGCATTTCAGTTGATCACGACAGCGGTTTTTTTTTTTTTTTTTTTTTCAGCGGCAGCAGCGAGGCCTACTGTTCCCCCATGTTTCCGTCAAAGTTAAGACCAGGTATTGCTGGAAAACATAATCATTGGAGTCTCTAGCTAGCCGGCACAGCAAATGACGAGCACTGATTACTTTGAACAGTTCTGAGCTCCTGGCATCCCACTTTTTGAATGTTCCGGTAACTCGAAAACACGCTTAATTCGAGGATTTCTCGCTGCCCCGGTGACTTCGAATTAACGTAGCTTTACTGTATAAAAGCGTGAAATGCTTCGGTTCAGTTAATTACACTAGCATGTGCAAGACTTGCGTAGCTAATAGCATCTTACGATTTCCTCCTTTCTCCCAGACAATCAAATCATCGGCAGATCGAACGCCAACGACGCCGACGGGCTTGGAGACAGTGATTTCGATTTCGAAGGTGGTGAGCGGCATGCATTTATGGAGACGTGGCTGTTCAACGAATTGACTATAGGGTATGTTGTGACTCTTCGAAGCCTCCAAAAACTAGTACTTAATATGGATTACGCTGGCAAGTCCCCTTCCATTCTCAATAGGTCCCTTGTTGTACAGAAATCGTCTTAGGCGGCACTGTGAACCAGTCACTAGTATAAGACAGATGAGCTTCCTTGATTGATTATTGTATAACTACTTGTTTCTTAGAATCATCTGATTCGCAATGTATTTGTGGTGTTTCACAAATTTCAGTGCAGATCCAGAGACAACCTACGATGTGACCCTGCCCGACTCCATCACAACCTGGGAGCTGAGTGCCGTCAGTGTTGCGCCGTCTGGTGGCATCTGCGTCCATGACCCGCTAGAGATACGTGTCTTCAAGAAGTTGTTCATCGAAGTCAACCTGCCGTACTCTGTCATCCAGAACGAGCAGGTCGAGATTCCGGTGACGGTGTACAACTACGACAGGGAAGACCAAAGGGTAGGCATCTCTCGCGCGCTCTATGATTTTTTGAAATGGTGCACTTTGATTTTCACTAAGGCATAAACTGTCGAATCGTGCCTTGAGTTCATATACAATGAACAGCTCGAAGACGCTCAAGGACTAAGTTGAGTCATCTGTGCTCGGGTGCACGTTCTTCGTGTCGGCTTTTTCGTGTCTTTTCAACGGAATGGCATGCACCGAGCAACGTGTCCAACCTGGTCCTCTTCATTCCGCTTTCAGTCATTCAATGCGTGTGTTTATTTTACACCGAAACTGATACTATGGTGAATAATGGAAAGACAGCAAAAAAGCTGCAGATCCTGCAGCTTGGCTAAGCACCGTCCATCCTGCGACAGAAGATGACAGAGTGAAAAGGGAAGTTCGAAGAAACCAAAATAAACAGATCAATAAATGAAGAAATAAATAACAAAAACAAAAAAAAGCAAAAACAAATCAAGTAATAATACAAGCATAGGGCGGAATAAGTGACAGGGCAAAATATACGAACAGAAAAAAAAGGATTTTTGATATGCACCCACAGGGTATAATTTACACGACATCGACCGTCATAGCTGACTCATCTTTTCTCAGAAGCCTTCTTAGCTTAGCTACAACAGGAAGCAGGGTACAGGCAGAATGGAAGTCACACCAGACTTGTAAATGGTAAGTCACTTGCTGACTGAAAATGACATGGAAAGCAGGTATGACTATGTTGAATCAGACGTAGCAATAGCATTTTTCTCATTTATTTTACCAGCAATGTTCAGTTTTATGACGAGACGAAAACAAACGAGCCACGACGAATTCGCTAAGTACGATATCTTTAGTTGGCAAGTTTATCAGCTTGCAACGCCTTTGGTTCAGCTACCAGGCCCGGTGGCAGGGCTAGCCGAAGATACATTGATATTGTATCGCGACACAATGCAAGATACTGCCATAATATTTGTATACGATACGATACTTGGCAATTGTATATTAATACACCTCGATACATTCAAAAATGTGTTATTAGGTTGACCCCCCATAATGTCGTAGCGAATGGCTATGCGCAACAAGGTCTGCTTGACTTACTTCTTAAGTGTGACCAACTTTGTTTCACTTGAATGAAATATCTCTTAATTCCATAGAGGCATTGTCATTCATGTTCAAAGTTCATTAGTTGACTTACGAAGGGACTCATTTGGGCTCGATTTCGCTGCTTAACAGGCCAGCTCTTCTCTCGCAGTGGTTTATGCTATTTTTGTAATTCATGAGAGTCACTGCTCAGATGGCTGACCAATTAGCAGGTTGTCATTTAACAGCAAGAGTTTCTATAAGAAGCTCTCGCATGACGGCGCAAATATCGGTGTGCAGTTTTACCTTGTCCATAAAGCCCCGTCTTTGCCACATCGAATCACCGATATACAGCAGCAGCAACACTGGTAGGGACTTTTTTTTTTGTGGAAACCTGTATGCACGAAGAGCAGATGAAACTGCAGAGACTTTTCATGTTCTACATATCAGCTTGCGCGAAGCGCTCTTTCTAAATATACTCACTGACGTGTGATCTTTTAACATTTGTCTAACGAGAGGACATGTGCATCGCAGAAACACCCCAGACCGATTGTTATGGTCACGTGGTGTGATTATGAAAAAGGCGGTAGTCACTCTGGTAGAGGCGAGACTTTCTATTTGGGCTAACTTGTGCCCCAAAAACTGACTGCTTCTAAGCACAAGCAAAGTGCGCCTTACACGGAAAGTCGTTGGCTTTTCGTAATTTGCTGGTAATCGGCGGAACAAGCTGTGTTGTATGCCTCAGTAAAATAACCTTCCAGAAATATTGCATGAAGCTCGCGTAAGAGCTCCCGAATCGACTAGAGCACTCTCGTACTATGCGTAATCATAATAATAATTGCTCAAGTTTTATGCTGCAAAACCAAGATATGGTTATGAGCGACCTGTAGATGAGAGCTCCTGAAATTTTCACCATCTGGTGCTGATTACCGTGCACCTAAATCTAAGTATGCAGCGCACAAGAATTTCTCCTGCATCGAAATGCAGCCGCCGCCGCAGATGTATCAACAGATGTATCGCCGCCCGTTGTATCAACAGAGGTATTGTGAAGATTTCGAAACATTGCGGGGAGACTTGCGCCGACTGGTGCTAACAGTTTTTTTTTTTTTTTTGGTTTAAGCCCGATCACACCAATATAAAGAAATGAGAGCACGTAGCAGTATAGACCACTTAGCTGAGTAGCTCCCAGCGATTACTGTTTTGCACAGAGGTGTTACTTAATCAGAATCTCGTATCTTAAAATACACGATATACAATATTGAATTTACCGGAAAGATTGATACAGATACTCGTTTTGCGAGACGTATTGCGACACAGATGCGAAATACACAGAGTATCTAAGGTATCTAAGATACATGGGAGATGTATTGCGATGCAGATGCAAGATACTCAAAGAGTGTCTAAGGTATCAGAGATACATGTGTATACATTCGATATTGTCCAGCACTGCATGGCGGTTGCCGTACAATGGGGTAAGGATGCAGATAGGCTCATGCAACGTGCCCTGGTGCAATTCGAAGAAACGCGAGTGGTTTAAACTGACCTGAAGGCCCTCGTTATTGGCTTTCTGATAACTCACTGCTATTCTAAAAGCCTACAGACTGTCGCGCTGCCAAGCAGAATTCAGGCGCGTCCTCTCAAGGTTGGTCAGTACGCAGACGCTCTTTTCTTGGGATACGCTGGCTTCAGTGTTAACAACGTTAGCGAAAAACGAAAACTAACCGCCTTGCATATTTCGTGCATCAGTGAATAAACTGGAACCGTCCGTAAGACGATAAATCTAATTCGTCCTTGACAGGCGTGAAGTTTTTGTGAAGTGAAAAATGTGGCAACTGGCACTTTCGATTATAGCCCGCAAAGTACACACATATCCGCTTTGCGAGATTTTCTGAAGCCCTGTAGTTGGTTAAATATTATCGTATGACCTTTCCAATTGAAACTTACCTTTTCTTACGTGCGTAGTATTATTTCGTGCTTTTGTAATGCATGAATTTCATAACATTCATTGTACGCGGAAATTCGCGCGGGCTCGCGATTTTTTCTCGAAAACATGGCCAATGCTGCGCCGCTTGTTTTTTATTTATTTATTTTATTTATTTACAGGTTCTGCAGGCCTGTACTTAGGCTCTAGCAGAAGGGGCAACAACAATTAAAAATAGAAAGTTGTACACCACATCACATAATCAGATGACTTATAGAGCTCTTAGCCAGCAGCGTTGTGGCAGAGAAACAATGAACATATGCATCAAACTCTATAAATAACTCACACGGCCACTGCCAACATGCTATATTCATACATAATTTAAAACTAAACTAGACAAAAAAAGCTTTAAGTTGTTTTTCAATATCTTCGGATTGAAAATCGCTTATTGCTAAAGATTTTCAGTCGGTAATAGTCCTAGGGAAAAACTATTTTTGAAAGCAGTAGTACGAGATTGCGGTTAGGAGAGGGAAAAAAGAGAAAAGTGAGCCCCGTAACTGTCTGCATCGGCGTGCGACACCTCACCAGTAGCTCACAAGGGATGGGAGTGAGGAGGGATTAAAAGGATAGGATTAAAGGTAGAGAGAGAGAGATGCGCAAGGACAGTGAGCGACGACATAAGGGAATAGGAAAGATGGAAACACGGTAACAGGAGTCCGAGAACAGGGGACGCTAGGGCACAGCTAGCGAGAGCTCTTGTCGGCGGCAGGAGAATGGCGTATGGCTAATCCAGTCGGCCAGAGCGGCGCTGTTGTCGGAGATCGCGAGGGCACAACCAGTAGGCACGGAATCCAGCGAGCGAGGCAGTAGTACGAGCAAAAACAGGCGCCACTGAATATTTATGGTTATGTCTTGTTTTTCTAGCAGATAGACGTTTCACACAGTTGAGCAACTTATGTAACTTTACCGGAAAGAATTTTGTGTAGAAACGTTAACCAGTTAAATTTCTTCGACATTCCAATGTTTAGATGTCATTAGGTTGCATAATTTGTGTTGGCGAATCATATCTTTTATACTCGCTAAAAATGAATCTGACCGCCTTCTGTTGAACTTTTTCAAGCAAGACAACATGTTTTTTACATTGAGGGTCCCAAACAACCTAAGGCGTATTCAAGCGTATTAATTGTGTTTGTTTATAAATGGCAGCACACAGAATTCACAGGAGGTCCCCCTGACAATTTTTACTTTGGGACCTCCTTCTGTATATATCAACTTTTTACTTGCACTGTATACAGAATGAAAGAGTATTAATGTCCCCAGTTTTTTTTAACACTGCAAGTAATTCGTTGTGAACGGGTTTCACAGCGCAACGTTGTCTGCGCCCAGATAAACGTATGAGGGGCTAGGTGTTGGTGTTATTGAAGTCGTTCGGTGGAGAGAATTCCACACAATGCTTTCAGCAGTGATGTTGAAAAGAACCATCGTGACGACGAGGATTTTTTACTGGACGTAGATGGCTGTCAACGCACCGAGAGAGATTGCGATGATGAACGATCAGCTGCTAACTCACGAGTTCGGAGTGGGTTGCACTTCACGTCACCTCGTGTATTGATGTTTTTTTCACGCTCGTAAGTCCATTTGCTTTGATTTAGTGCATATTATTCTTCGGCAAGGAGAAAATAAAAGCATTGTTTTTCTTGTGTATTGCATGTAGCCCAATAACAGTGGATAATATGCGTTTGCCGACAGCAGCTTGGCGTACATTTCCACCAATCAGCCTAAGCGACACAGCACTTTTGTCTCTATACGGTATGGCTTGCTGAGAAGTGGGTTTACTCATGTACTAGTGCAAAATTAATATGTGCTCGAATAATGGGTCAAAATACAAGTGCACACTCTTTGCTACTAGGACCTGAAAAAGACCTTCGCGGAACTGGAATTATCCGGGTTAACACACTGCTGAGCCGCGAAAAACATGTGTTGCCCGACTTAGCCATCTTCGTCAAATGCATGGTTGACTTGCGCGGCGTAGCTCACTGCAGCTTCCGTTGTATGCCCGCCATATCTTGTCTTCATCTTTCCCGTAGCTGGCATGCCAACCGAACGAAATAAGTGAGCGCGATTCAACTTGTAATATCGCTGAGCGAGTGGCGAGAAATAGCGGAGGCAAGCGCTACGAACAGAAATCAATCACTTCCCATGCATGGCCTGATTTATTATTCAAAAATAAGAAATTAAAACAGACATATAAACAAAGTAAAAGTACTCTACATTGGTATCGCATTTTTTTTTATTTGTAAAAGTTTTTGAAAGCCAACAAAGGCGAACATCCACATCAACCTCACTTCGTTTAACCAGATGTTGTGATCCCCGGCAACCGCTTCGAGCGTTCGTGTTCCTTCAAACCGAAACTATAGCGCTGAGTTTCCGAGCCTTGCTTATACCGTTTATTAGTTCTTTTAATTTGTGGTCGCATGTGCTGACGAAAGATGCGGCTATAATTCCTCGGTACAGCCCATTGGTTTGTTACCCATTTTGCAATGTTCATTTGTCGAGAAAAAAAATAACAGTTGTGAAATACAAACAACTGTACGCGCCTTCAAAATAATGTTATCCCATAACTTATACTCACGTAAACAAAGAGTTCGACCGGTGATCCAGGTACGTGTGACAATGCTCGGGACGAAGCACGTCTGCTCAGGGGCCAAGGAAGGAAAGCCCTCGGCAACACGCGAGATCAACGTGCCCAGGGGTCAGGGTCGCACGGTGACGTTCCCCGTGGTGCCTCTGGCGGCTGGCGAGAGGGAAATTCGCGTAAGAGCCACCAGCAGATCAGCATGGGACGCTGTTAAAGTGAAGCTCAGGGTTGAGGTAAGTCGTCATTCCTTTTATATTTTAGCGAGAAAGTGAAGACCAAGGGTAAGTATACACCAGATTTACTAACTTACAATCTATTCGTGCTCATTTCCACCGCCCGTAATAGGCAGAACCACGGGCAGCAGTGTCGTAGTTCTTGCACCTAGCATTCTGTCTCGTGCTCCAGTGTTAAAAAAAAACAGTCTAACCACCGTGTTCACAAACGCTCCTCGACTCGCGTTTCACCCTTCACTTGACAGAGTTGAGCACCGCGCCACCACTCGACTGAAAATGACGCTGCGCTACTCAAGAACCGCAGCAGACTATCGCCGAAATGCAGTGACTTGCCAACTTAGAGATGGTGCTCCCAACGGCTTTCTCAATTGAAGGCGAAGCGTTGAGTGAAAGGAGGTTCTAGAATACGGGAATTATTGACTCGTGTGTATAGAGTTAAGATATAACAGTTACCTGGTGCGTGAGTTCTAACACTGTGCGCCACCTGTTCCTGAGCAACTTCAACAGACTTTTGATTGGTGCGCTGCCAGCACTGGTTAGCACAAGTTTGTATTGACTTTTTTTGCTTAGTAATGGCTAATATTGGCTTGTGATGGCTAAACAGGTGTCAATGTTGACTAGTATCGTACAACTGCTGGTTGATGTCGCTTATTGTTGGTTATATAATAGATATCTGTGGTTAAACAAATTTAAACATTGTCTAGCGTAGCCAATGTCGGGCAGTGTTGGTTCGTGTTATAAAAGCACCACTGGCTTCAGTAGTCTCTCACAACACCCAATTTAACGTACCCATGCACGATACGGAAGTCTACTTCCGGTCACGTGACTTCGAGCTGTTGAGGTACAAATAAACTCCGCGAAGCACCATGCACAGAACCTCCCATAGACACCAGCGCCAGCGTTCTCTCTAGTGTACTTATAGGAAGCATTATGTTTTTTTTTTTTTTGTCGCCCATAGCGGTGTATATCGTTCGTGACTGCTTTCTTTTCTAGACACCAGGCGTGCCCAAGACTGAAAGCTTTAACATCATCCTCGATCCACAAAATACGCTAAAGCGAACGGAACGACATTCTGCTAACTTTGAACGCAGATACAGCGGTAAGCCACAATACATTTTTTCGAAGTGTGCGGGGGGGGGGGGGGGGGGACTTATTGCCATGTCTGAAAATACGTACGTGGAAGACGTGAAAACACATCTTTCACTGTAGCTTGCTTTGGGCTCTCAGTTCTTCAGTTCTTGTAATTGACTCCTGTGATTGGCGTACTCATGTAAGCAAACTTCCACAAAGTAGACGCGCATGGCGCGCTTAAACACGCATGCGTCTAGGAGACGCGGTGCGCGTTGGTTTACTGGTCATCGTAACGGGATAAACCTCGCGTGGGCGACTTCTACCGTGCCTCGCTAGCGCGAACGCTGCCTGGGACTAGCGTTTATCGCTGTTTTCGTGATTTCCTAATTATTTTTTTTTCTTTTGGCATTGTACATTAAGAAACGGGCAGGGCCATTGAATTTTCAGATTTCTTTAACGTTTTGCCACAAACTGCACGAAAAGTGGATGCTCTTTAACGAAACTACAGCCCAGTGAAATTGGTCAGTTCTGAAATAATCGCCCTGTATTGGTTATACTTCAACCAGGGGTATAGCCAGAAATTTTTCCGAATTGTAAGAGAGGGAGGGGGTAGATTTTAAGCGTAGTTTATGTACATTTGTTCACACATTTTTATGTCGGCGTATATACACTCGCAAAACTGAAAAAAAAAAAAAACTTTGGTGTGGTTTGCCCTCTCACGAAACATGTAGTCAGGCGACTAAAGCAACCTAAATCCACATAATGCCTAGTGGCATGACACGCTCACGTTTAGTGTAACTACTTCCGTGCCTAAATCACACGACATGTGCTTTCGAAAACATGTGACAACTGTTCAGGGGAATGACGTCACTTGAGAGCACTTAAGTACTGTATAGTGTCGGGGCTGAAATCACGTGGTATAAGCAGCAGCTGGACACGTGACTAAGATAATGTAACATCACGTGACCACTACAACGTGACTAACGTCAGGTAAGATCCCGTAACTGCTTGTCACGCGATATGTGTTCCCGCCATAAACCATGTAACCCTTCACGTGACTCAAAATTACGTATCACGTAACAGCTATACTCTAAAAAAAGAGCGAGTAAAAATGGGGTCTTTTTGTCCCACAACAATAATCGTCATCTATATTGCGTTCCATCCTTGCGCTATCGCCCCGCGCCCAGTACATTCCGGTCACGATCGACATGCCCATTATCAGGGTTGCATTGCATTCTCGATAGGAAAGTGGCCAGCGCCGAGTTTTCAAGAAAGGAAGCGCACGCTAGCCTAATGACGATTATTGTTGTGGGACAAAAAGACACCCTTTTTACTCAATATTTTTTAAGAGTGTAGCTGTATTTTCACCAAAGCCGCGTAACATGAAGGAAGGAGCGTGTTCTCGCCAGAAATACGACACGTAACAGCTATAGTCACATATAACTAAATAGAAGGCGTTGCTAGGCTAGTTCGGACATTGTCTGAAAATAAAAGCCGAGAGAGAGTGTCTTACTGTCTGATGTGTTCCATCTTTTCGCGACCTGCTTTTCATTTTTAGACGTAACTTAAGTCGGGTAACATCTAGTCACCTGGCTGAAATCTCGTAGCATTACGTAACTATACACATGACTAATTTCTCGACAACTAGTCGTGTGATTAGGAGCACGTAACATCACGTCACATCTAATCACTTGACATGTTCCTGCTAAAACCACTCCACACGTGCTAAATATCGGTAAATGGCCAAAAACCAGATGAGGATAGTCAAGCCTAAGATTACTTAGTACTATTAGCCAAAAACATAAGTTAGTAACAAAAGCTTGGCATCACTAGCAAAAATTAAAAAAAAAAGCTGTGGTATACGCCAGGACACTAGCTCCGCAGTTGGTTCTATGCTTTGTGCTGCACTTTCTTTTTTAACTTTAGGATAATCAGTCTAATAAATAACTTTATTATTACCGTTATGCATCCTTTTATGCAAATATAAATATTAGTCACTTCTTCTTATTATCTGTCTTTCGCCTCGAATGTTAATGGAGCAAGTTACTAGGCGTTACGACACGACAGTGCAAGTACATTTGTTTTTATGCGATAGCATTAAAAGCTCGTTTCGCTGAAATTCCGGCGTTGGCGTTGGTGCTGGTTGTGAGCGAAAAATCATCGCCTCAAGCGTGACCGAAAAAATCGAGAACGAAGTAAATGAAATAAATCACTATGCAATTTAGTACCGAACTGAATTGCGTGACTGCAGCCCACTTGTCTCCTCTGTGTCTGTAAGACAAATTGTTTAGTGCACTACGAGTTATTGTATCTGCAGTAGTAATAGTTGTAGTGGTAGTAGTTGTAGCAGTAGTTATTGTTTGTTAACGTTAATGTTTTTGTGGAACTTGACCTGACTTCGAAATTGTTGCTCCAGTGCACGTGCTTGGACACTGTTACCACGTGAGGTGCTCCGTGCATATGTCAAGCTTCCAAAACTTGCCACGCACTTTTCCCCTACCTTATTTGGTTCAAATCGTTCGATTCTCATGCCCCAATCGCAGAAACCATTGCTCTCAGAGAAGGTCACCTCGTACAGATCCCGGGAGCACACAGGTATCCCAAGGAAGTCGTGCCGGGATCTGAACGCTGTGAAATCGACATCGTTGGTGAGGCGGCACTCTTTTTCTTCCTGTTACAGCACATCCCCCCTTCCACATCTTTTCAAGTTCGCCGCAGTGGTGTAAAGCGATTACTGCGCTCGGCTGCAGACACCAAGGTCAGCGGGTTCGATTCCAGTCGTGTCGGTCGCGTTTCGGTGCAGACGAAGTGGTAGAGGCCAGCGTACAGCTGTGCGTTGTCATTTAAAAGAGCACCAGGTGGGCAAAACTTTCGGAGCTTTCACCTATACGGCGTCTCTCAAAGTCGTATCATCGTTTTGGTACGTGAAAGCACAGATAATATTATTGTGAACACTTTTTGAAGAGAACTGTATAATAATCTTTAAATATAACTAATTTTATAAGGCAGAGTGTGCAGACATGGACAGGAGAAAGAAGTCCCCACACCACAGATTCGACTAAAAAGTGAAGATACCAACAAAGGGGTGAAGGAAAGAATGCACGAAAACTTGTTCGGGAGTGCCCACGCAAAAGGCCAACAAATCAATCCAGCACACGTGAAAGATACACTGTTAAGCCATTTGATTTCATCTTTATGCAAATTAGTCAAGTGTGGCTCTTGCATGCGCTACCACTATTATCGATCGAAGGGTGGCTCGTATACGCCATCGAAGGGCGGCTCATAAGCCAGAACTGACTTCTTTCTTAAGTCCGCGTTTGCGTTCCCCAACTTTTAAAATGAATACTATGCCAACTGCCTCGGCTCTCTGTTATTGTAAAGTGCAATTAAGATCGAAATTGTTAAGATGCAATGCATATCCAATTTTATAGAAGCATTGCATATGTGTTAGCATCAAAAATTCTCGTTTTAACAGAGCCCACTGATGTTTCGCACAAGAAAGTACTATGCAATATCTAAAGCATCGAAATTGGACTGAGTCGGTTCGTCAGTCTTGAACTGGTATAGCGTATTACGGTAAAGAATAAATGGCCGCGAGCAGACCAGCACAAGAGGACAGAGCGCTTTCTTAATGCCTGTAAGGCTCTATACCACCTAACCTAACCTAACCTAATCGTAAGGCGTTGTACCAGTTGAAGTACGATGTGTCATTTAGATTTTGTTCACTTAACACTTACCACAAATCGCATTGAGTTTAAGAAAGACGTAGAAGAACTTTCACTGTTTAATTACTGATATTTAATGATCATGTGCTGAATATTGCTCCAAGTGAGGAGCTTCGCCCAGAATCTCGTAAGTTATCTAAGTCGACTATGTTATCTCAATCATCAATCATATCACTATAAATTAATCAATATCAATTATCAATCAATCAATATCTCAATCAAAATCAATTATCTAAAAGTCTGGCGACTCGAACCGCCCGTTTCAGTAACCGTCTTGTTAACTGCTTGTCAACAAACACACCAACATTTCTGTACATAATCGCCGTTTATGTTGGCCGGCATAGCATTCCATAACTCGGGTTGCCTTCGAAATTACTTTGATCTATGATTATTGCTGGAACGATGTTGCAAAATGACAGTGTTTGTAGAATGCTGTGGCATAGAACGAGTGATGAACACTACGTATTATTCTTTTTTTTCCTTGTTGTTTGTTCGGCACGTTTCGAAATGCGTCGCGATCTTCGCTCGAGAGTTTTAATGTGTTACACGTGTGCGCATTGCAGGCAACGACATGGGCGCTGCGCTGGAGGCATCAATCAAGAACCCCGATACCTTGCTTAAAATGCCATCGGGCTGTGGTGAACAGACCATGATTGGTCTAGCGCCAACGCTGTATGCCTACGAATATTTGAAAACTGCCGATCTAATTTCTCCCCAAGACGAGAACAGAGCACTCGACTTCATTCGAAAAGGTACTTATGGAATGTTGTGTCATGTATGAAAAACAAGTACCTAGTGCTGATGCACTAACAGTACCTAGTGCTGATGCACTACCTGAGCGATGCTAGTTCAGCTCATAATACAAGAATCATCCGGTTTCACTAGGCTATTTAATTTGTCGGAAACCATCTCCTACGTTGCCTTAAACACTGAATATAAAAAAAAACTGATGCAACTTCGCACTATTGGTGCTAAACGTGAAGGGAGTGCCTTCTTTGTTTCTCTCTAATTTTTTTCCTTCCTCCTCTCTTTCTTTCTTGCTTACTTTTGCGACTTTTTTGTGTTTTATTTCTATCTATTCCTATTTTATTTCTTTTTGCCTTCTTTTTCTTTCTATTTGTCACTCGTTTCCTTTATTTCTACTCTATTTCTATTTCTCATTTGCTTGCTTGCTCAGGCTCCTTAAGTGACGTCGCTTGATATCGTCATCAAGGCACCCGAAGAACAGGTGAAGAAGACTTCTGCTTGGCGTGAGCGAGCGCTCAGTATGCTACACAGATGGATGTATACTGTATGTGACTTCGTTTGCATTGCGCCAAGCGTCAACGGAACCATGCGACAGCCCAGCCCCCTAAAGGGCTCCGCCATTAAGAGGGAATTAGCGCTGCTCGTTAGACAAAAGTACTATTTATGCCAGGAGAGGCATCGCTTTCAACTTCGTAATAATACTTGTTGCTGAGCCAGTTGGCACGTGTTTAATGGAATGCACCCTTTCGAAGAGCGGAGCTAATTTTGCACGGCTGCGCCTGACGACACATGTCGCTAACCATGACGAGCTCTGGTTTCCATATACACCCACAGATGGCGTAACTGCTTTGGTCGCGGACGAAGCGGTAGCCCCATCTTGTAACAGGGAAGGGCAGCTTGAGCGTGATTATGGTCTATTCCACGTTTGTTAGCGGCGGTAGGCGCATTCGACACAGTGACGCGCTTGTAGTGACGTCGTAGTGCGCAGGCTCCGCCCACTTTAGGGTGCCTCGATGAGGCGCACGCACATCCTGGCACCCTATAGTCCAGCTCGAAGCTCGCCATCGCCCTATCGCCCTCTATGGTAGACGCGGGAGGCTCCCCGACACGCATGAAAAAGTAAAAACTGCCTCCATGCCGACACGTTGTGCTCGGAGTGTGCCAGTTGTCACGTGATGATCATAGAGGGCGGTGGTGAGTTTCGAGGTCAACGGGGTCGGCGCGCCGCGATGTCGCTATACAATCGTCTCACTGTGTCGGCGGCTCCGACCACTCGCGATAGCAATGACCGTAGTGACATGGGCTGTCACACGTGTCTTCACACGCTTGTCTGCAGGTAATGTAATTGCGGTCACCCACACAAAATCACAGAATATCACATGGGAAACATAGAGCTTCCTTAATGTACACTAGAGGGAACTCTGGCGCTAGTGTCTATGGGAGCTGCAACGCATGGCGCTTCAGCGAGCATGGGAATCGTGGGTAGTACATGGCTTCGCCTATGGTCTTGGCACTTTCCATTTTTTCGGGTTTGGCGTGGCTCGAAGCTGCTTTGTCACAAAACAACAATCGGCAAATGTTCAGCATTTGCGCTTCAACACCTTAATCCTTTAGGCTTACCATTTCAAATGGGCTCACGAAGTTCAACATGTTGCATTCTTTCCATCGAAACAAAAGCGAAACACAGCAATAAACGAAAGCAAAAGTGCGATTCACCGCCCGCAAGTACAAAGACTAGGCAAATTCGTGTACTATACCATCATTCTCATGGTCGCTGAACGATCGCAGCGCCGGAGTCTCTTCTCGTTCATTTTAGGAAACACTATATGATGAGAAACACCAGAGATCCGCAGCTCCGCTGTTTCTGCGGATACCCCACAAGGTGAAGGTCAGGTAAGATTCGTTTTGTAGCCGCCTTTAACGCGAGAATTCTAGACCCTTATACAGCCATTTAACATCACTCTTTTTCACATTCGACACCATGTACTGGCACGTTGTGGCTATATCAAATCGCTGTTGCACCGATACACATCATATATCATCATCATAGTTCGTTTAGAGTCATTTATGTTGTGTTTATGCAGTTTGGGTGTGTGTGCGTGTGTGTGTGTGTGTGTGTGTTCAAGAAAGCCGCAGAAAGGGGGATAGGTTCGGTCGATGCCAAGATTTGTGTCTTTTGAGATGTGGGTACGCGAAATAAATAAAATGTTTTTATAAGTTGGGATAGAAATTTGAACGTTTACTTACAGAATGTTTATTTCAGCATTATATTACATGGAACGAATTCAGCCGATAGCTATTCAGTTGTTGATTTAGAAGGCAGTACGGATGGTTCATTGCGTGACCATACTTCCCCCCGTAGATTGAAAAAAAAAAAGGTCTTGCCCTGTTAATGTGTGCAGGCATGTTCTAACTATTGTAGGCCCGTGTGCTCAGATTTGGGTGCACGTTAAAGAACCCCAAGTAGTCGAAATTTCCGGAGCCCTCCACTATGGCGTCTCTCATAATTATATAGTGGTTTTGGGACATTAAACCCCAGATATCAATCAATCAAGGCTTGTTCTAACGATTACTTTGTTACCCCAGTCTCACAGACGTAAACATTTTAGAGAAATATTTTGTGTTACGTTTATTTAGAAAAGGTGCTCGGTGCACGGGGCCTGGCCACGTTATGTGTGGTATACAGTATCGTGGCGTCACGGCAGCTCACAAGAGGGTAGCGCACATTTTTATGTCCCGTGTACTAAACAACGTTTTAAATTGTGCGCTGACGGTGTGAGTGGCATGGGCAAAGTAAACTCTGAAAACTAAGCCTTATGACACTAAAGTTCCCGGTGGCCGAGACCACTGCACACACTATAGCATCTTAACCGCACCTATACCCCGACTGAAAGTATGTAATCGCTCTTTCTCACTAGGGTATCAGCGTATTCTCACTTTCCGAAAACCGGACGGATCATTCGCAGTGTGGACGAATCACGCATCCAGTTTGTGGTGAGTACACTTTCATTACTGCATGTCGCTGTAACCATGTGCTTGGGGCCTCATAGGTAGGTCCAATAGCAGCTATTGCGAGTACATCGCAAGCCGAGCTTAGGCTAAAATTTAACACATGGGTTTAAAGAAGTGAGCTACAAAGCAACAGGTTGACGTGAACAACTGCTTATAAAGTCTAGGCTGAATATCTTCGTTTTGTAAAGGCAATAATCAAAGATAATGTTGAGACTTTTGCTTTAAATTGGCAGTCTAAAGGTTCGCTAAAAAGTCACTAATCACTACTGAGGAATATCACGGTGATTGATTGGTTTATTTATTTTTGATTGATTGATTGATTGCTAAGAAGTCACTAATCACTACTGAGGAATATCACGGGGATTGATTGGTTTATTTATATTTGATTGATTGATTGGATGTTTGCCATTAGTATCACCATGACTTTAGCTGCGAAGAAGCCTCACTTTTTTCGAGCGAGATCACTTGGAACGCGACCTAGTGTATTTATTCTGATGTACCTAACTTTCATTTTTTTTATTTTGCTCTGAAAGAGAAAGCCAGCGCCATGCAGCGGTACCAAAGTGTCTTAAAAAACATATAATAATTCGAAGCATGAACGTGGACAGTGTTTGTTTTACTCCTCTCCGCTTTCGCAAAATGACATGACCCACAATAAACTTCACACATCGGCATCGCAGGCTCACAGCCTTCGTGGTGCGAAGCTTGTGCGAAGCGAGCAAGTCTGTTCACATTGACGGAAACGTGCTCACCAAAGGCCTCAGCTACATCCTAACCCAACAGCAGCAAGACGGCAGCTTCCACGACATTTATCGGCTACACCACGGTGATCTCCTGGTATGTACGTCCTCCTATTGCGCAACCTTGCCACGCTTATCCATTGGAGACAACATTCCCAAATATAACGTTTTTTTTTTTTTTTTCGGGCTATAGTTGGTTCATTTTCTACAGAAGGAATAAGGCACAAGCTAGACGGATACAAGAAGAGACACGGACGAAGGCCTACTAACAACTGATCTTTTTCGAAGAAAAATGGGAATACATATAGGCAAGTGTTTCGACAGCGCTCATCGCATGGTGTTCTTAAAAGCGATAAACACTGTACGTGACGGCATATCCTTAACAAAAATAGTAATATGGTCAACGACACTTGGTGTAATGTAAATTTTTTATATGAATGCAGAATGTCGTTTTTAGAAGCACTGGTTTGAAATAACTCCTCGCATTATGTGTAATTCCTACCGCGCATGATTAAAAAGCAGAATAGTTGTTCTTTTTAATTGGTGGCACTGTCTTATGTGTTTGAAGATTTGGTTGTTGTAATCTCCACAATATTTGTTTCGGTTTGGTGTTACTTTGCTTTACACCACGTGTAGTCAGCATATTTCTATTTTTATAGATATGCCATCTCGTATAACTTCGATCGCTTTTAAGAATACCGCGAGATTAGAACTGTCAAAACGCTTGCTTATATCTATTTCCTTTTTTCTTAGAATTAAATCAATTGTTAGTAGGCGTTCGTCTCTGCCTCTCTTGTTTGAGTCTGGCTTGCACCAAAACACTCACAAGAACATTCACAATAACGTGTATACACGTTATTTTAGTGCTTATAAGCACTAAAATTGCCGAGTCTATCATATCGTATAGCATCTCACATAACATTAGCAACATCATCTGGGCAATGACCGACATTCCTTACTTAAGAAAATCTTCAGGATCCTTCATAAAATCTTCAGTTTTATTGTACATGTAACTTTTAGAGAAACAAACAAGACAAAGAAATAAAGTAAGCCCTTCAAATGAAAAGTATATAAAAAAATCAGAGCATATCCACGGAGTGAATGATAAGTGGGACGAAACGTCCGTACGTCCATTCGTCGTTCTGTCCGTCCGTACGTCCGTCCGTGTACTGGTCCGTGCGTCCGCCCGTGCATCCATCTGTGCGTTCGTTCGTCTGTCTGTGCGTCCATCTGTCCGTACATATGCCTGTCCATCCGTTCCTTTTAAATGAAAAGTCTAGAAAATATCAGAGCATATCCACGGAGCGAATGATTATGAGAGGGGCGAAACGTCCGTGCGTTCATTCGTGCTTCTGTCCGTCCACCCGTTCGTGTATAGGTCCGTGCGTCCACATGTGCGTCCATCTTTGCGTTCGTCCGTGTGCCCGTTCGTTCATCCGTCTCTCTGTGCGTCCAGCCGTCCGTCCATGTGTCTGTCCATCCGTTCGTTCGTCTGCCTGCCTGTTTGTCCGTCCGTCTATCCCTGTATGTGTCCTTCCGTTCGTGTATGCGTCTATGCGCGCGATCGCATTTGAGAATGCAGACGGTGCGCAGGTAACACCGACGAGACGCGAGCCAAGGAAGCCCAGCGCAAACTTCTTGAACGCGCTCGCCGCTCTGCTTCGTTCATTCCCCTCCAATGATCCGCCATGTATGGCGAGAATGCGTGGTTGCTTGGAAGAGGAAAAAGACACTATTTTCTGCAGCCCTTGCGGGAGCACGACTCAGAGCCTTGTAGGGAATGGGAGGAGGGGGAATAAAAAGAATATAGGACGGATATATATAGAAAAAGAAGTGGGACAGGCAAGCGACCAAAAAAGAAGTAGATAGGAAAGTTGGACGCATGTCGAAGAAGTCCGAGGATGGGGCCCCACACGACGAGAACTTCACGTCTTCAGGAGGTCGCGGGGGGTGAACCAGTCGGCGAGAGCTACGCTGGTGTCATAGTTCGCTGGTGGCGCAACTGGTTAGCTTGAAATTCTCTGATCTGCTCACGTACGGCGACTATATATCCAGGAGAGTGTGCGAGTAAGTGTGAGGGAAGCACTCCTTCCTCGCGCACGCAGGCACAACCCGCACAACAGCCAATTGGAGAGTAGGGGTTCAGCGCCATCTAGAATATTCTCACTCAAATGCAGTTTGTACGTACTTCTATGAGACAGCGCCGTCTGTAATACTAATCCAGAGATACCGCCTTCCTCTTCTTTTTTTTTCTTGTTTCTTCTTCTCTCGGTTACGCCGCACGCAGAACAAGGTTAGACTAAAAGGAGCTTCGCCTCTTAAAATGACTGACGATTCAGAGTGCTTAGTGTTCTGCTATGGGAGAATCTACTGCTCTTCCTAAAAGGCCAATTTTTTATATCCATGAAAGCTGATCAGTTTGTGTTTAGAAAAAGTGGTTGACAATTTAGAGTACTTGGTACTCTACTATGGGAGAGCAAAAAGCCGTCCCGACAAAAAGACATTTATTTTTGTGTTTAGAATAAATGTACGACAATTGAGAGTACAATGTACTCTACTATGGGAGAGCAATGAGCTGTCCCAGGGCAAATGGTCGTTACTGACTGATGCAGAGAAGATTCTTGACATTGCTGTACTACGTGAAGATCTCACCTTGTCTCTTCTATATCCCAGGGCGGCGTCACGGGTCCACTTCCACTGACGGCGTACTCTCTGCTTACCCTTCAAGAATGCACCAAAGATGGTGTCGAGGTGAGCTTGAAATTGAACTTAAAACCTACTACGTTTTATTTTTATAGCCAGAGCTGGGAAATTGACAAAAGAACTTTTGTTGTTCATAAGCGTTGAGTATTTGCCTAGCTAGTTCATCACTGTGAAATCGATCAGCTGCAGAAAGCGCAAAACAGGAAAAGCGTTGTGGGCAGGATAAGAGCTCTGTCCACAACATTCCATCATGTTAAGAGTTTTGAGTCGCTCAGTGATCTCACAAAAAACATATGCTTTGTCAGAACAGTTATGAGATTCTCCCATTACTTATCTCCAAGAAAAGTTGCCTCCTCATACGAAAGGTGGTGCGTATTAGATGTTTAAAGGAAGGATTTAAGGTTAGTAGCTTTAGTGGCCATTTGGATTTTGTTGTACTAACCAGACTAAAAAATGTGCAGGCTTTAAGCACAGGCAAATAAACCAGACTTCACTCGGTGACAGGGATCACTCGTTGCCCCAATGCTCGCCATAGATTGTGCGGTGTCATGGGCGAACGCATCCTGCTGTATACATTTGTAGCTCAAACAAATATATTAGTATTGTTATTTCATAACTTGCCAGGTTGGGTGCGCAGCAATATGGCACAGATGTCAACCATCTCGGCTGGTCCAGCCTTTGCGCACGCCTCAGATTGACTTCAAGGTAGGGCGCATGGGCGGAGGAAAAAAACTGAGTGGGCTATTGAGGGTATGCAGTGCCTAGAATGTGTTTAGTAGTTGCCCCGCCGCGGTGGTCTAGTGGCTAAGGTACTCGGCTGCTGACCCGCAGGGCGTGGGCTCAAATCCCGGCTGCGGCGGCTGCATTTCCGATGGAGGCGGAAATGTTGTAGGCCCGTGGGCTCAGATTTGGGTGCACGTTAAAGAACCCCAGGTGGTCTAAATTTCCGGAGCCCTCCACTACGGCGTCTCTCATGATCATATAGTGGTTTTGGGACGTTAAACCCCACATATCAATCAATCATCAATCAAGAATGTGTTTAGTAAACTATTAAGGCGGTAATATCTTCCGTTATTGCTCTTACGCTACATCTGCCGAGGTGTGCATACAATTAACTAAAAAACAGGTTCATAGGCGTACCAGCAGGGAAGGGGGGCAAAAGGAACGCGAGCCCCCCCCCCCCCCCACACACACACATTTAACAGCGGTCGCTTTTGGCTGCATGCTAGGGAACCAACAAGTAAGGTGAAGTTTTTTGCCAACATTTACGCTATGATGATTTTTCTTGTAGGTTCTTTGCGGTGCGAGTCGCGTAAGCGACGTTTTCGCGTCTTGCGCTATAGTATTGCAGAGGAGGCAAGCGCTGCACAGGGGCCCCATATTATTACGCCACTTCTTCATGCTTTCATTCCGCTGTGACTTGTTGATGCAGTTACGGAGTAAAACAAGCAAACTTTTTATAGACTGGAATACAATTTTCTTCGAAAAGGCCATATCGTCACCACTGCTCTGTCGAAGCTGTTGCGAGCCGATGACTGAGACGAATCGTTTTTGATGTTCAAATTCTCACGCTCTGAAATGCCAAAAATTGTTTCCGCTTTAGTATCTGATAAACCTGATCAGCCTTATTTATGGTAACTTGGAAGTTGGAGCTATATCAGCAGTAAAACACGAAAGTAAAACGCACCTTTACAAATTTTATTGAATATTTACTGTACATTGATAAATGAGGGTTCGCTGAATGTATGTTCTGTGTTTGGCAGCTACAGCCCCGTTTAACGTTTATATATGTGTCCTCGTTGACGCTTGGTACATCTCCACCCCGATGACTAACATTCATGATAAATTTCAAAAATAAACTATTGTGGTATCTGTAGATGTTAACCGCCAAAGCATAATCAGAGAAAGAGAGAGGGGCGAGATAGCCAGATGGGCGTCGCATATTGGACGCAGAAATTGGGCTAAGGCACCATTCCTCGGCCTCGGCCTTGGCCTTTTAAATTGTGTGATTGAACTTTGTGGTATTTAATGGAGGGCATCGTGTCACCTCTGTGTATGATGTCTTATCAAAGTGCTAGTGCCTCAATGAAGTTCTCTCAGTCTGCACATATATATATATATATATATGTGTGTGTGTGTGTGTGTGTGTGTGTGTGTGTGTGTGTGTGTGTGTGTGTGTGAGATCTAACATGTGAGATGTGAGATCTTTCTTCTTATTTACATTCCATTGGTTCTAATAACTTCCCCTGTACATTCCTTGGCATTATTGTCTGTTAGATCTCATTAATATTCTGTTAGAAAACAGAAAAAACGAGCCCTTAGGTATACACTTCTTTCCCTTATTTCATGGAACGAGGGTCTCGTACTGGCAGACTTGGTGTGTTTAGGTTGTATAAGAGGGACAATTAATCAGCTGCCCGCTCATAACAAGTTCACGTGCTACGTGACGCCAAACATGCGCATAAGAGTGTTTTCACACTCGTCGTTTGGCTTATAGATGGCGCTGACTGTCACTCCTACTTCTAAATTCACATATAAACCCAAAAAAGTGGATGGAGGGAAGGCCGCTGTGGTAGCTCAGTGGTTAGAGCATCGAACGCGTTATTCGAAGGTCGTAGGTTCGATTTCTGCTCACGGCTGGTTATTTTTTCATCCACTTTTCTTTCTTCTTATTTACATTTCATTGCTACTAATAACTTCCCCTGTACATTCCTTGGCATTACTGTCTGTTAGATCTCATTATTATTGTGTTAAAACACGGAAAAAACGAGCCCTTAGGTATACAGTTCTTTCCCTTATATATATATATATATATATATATATATATCTCAGCTGATGAGTGAGGTAGGTCTGTACCCCCTTCTCGCAAAAGAGTTGGTACGCCACTGAACAGGTCGCACACCACGGGCAGCCAATCTGCCCCAAACAACACCACAAGCCGTTAAACCGCACCATTGAAGGATGCCTGAATAACGGGATATAAAGCTGAGGGCTCGCCCTGAAGGCTAGCTCTGTACAGTCTGACTAAAGGAAGGCCCCACCAAAGTACGAAGCTTGGCATTTGTCTCACGGAAAGGGCAGCAATATACGAGACTGACTTTGTAGCACCTACCTCCCTATTCGAAGTTGCAGCACTCGTTCAATAAAGTCAATTTGCCTCATGTTCCACGGCTAGTAAGTTGTAACGAAGCACTTCTCAGCAGGAGCATTAGAATAAGTGAACAGAAAAGGGACCATATAAATAAAGAATTTGAGTCAGCATTTGAAACGGGCCTCTGCAGGCTTGTGGCTCCACCTGAAATTCTGCGTGCCGTGGATGTACATGCAAGGCAGCTGGTCGAGAAGGCGACACAGCGATCATTTGCCCTCCCTTAAAGGGACCCTGAAACGGTTCTGACAATAATTTACAAATACATTGGGTCAGTAGAACAACTCTCAAGGATGATTTAGAGACTGATTTGAGCCCACTGCACAAACATTGTAATTTATTATAACACTTTCAAGCAGCGAATCGCTCCGGATCACTGCAGATCGCTCTTTGGCCCCGGCTTCACGTAGACGGCACCCTGGGCTGACCCACCCAGGGGAAATCGGCAGTCGCCATTTCCTATCTCTCTCTTCCTACATCTTCGTCTTCATCTCTACTTTTTATCTGTCCTGTCCTCTCCTCTTTTTCGTTTACTTCAGAATTTCCTGGCGGCGAGGGTTAACCCTGTGTAGTTACCCAACCTTGGGTAGTTATATTCGGTTATAGCGGCGATGCATGGCTGGCGTCTCCAAGTGTTCACTAGTCAACCTTGTAGCGTCCCCTTGTTGGGCTCGGTGGTGGGTGGCCACCATCGCCGCCGAATTTTATTGTATTTTATGGCAAAATCTTTTCCCCCCTTTCCTGATCGCTCCCTAAAAAGGTGGCGCACCGAAGATACTTTCTTGCCTAACACACCAAAGCCCACATTCCCAAAGTACCATGTAATTCACAGTCAAAACGAAAAGAAGACAGTCCGAGCTATTTCACCTTTCCTCGTCTCCAAAACTCTCACAGAAGCAATAGGCCCAGGTTACAAAGTAACAAAGATGGGAAGTGGCGATCTTCTTCTGGACGTTCGTGACAAAGCTCAGTATGAAAAGCTGTCTAAGCTTGTGGCCTTTGGGGAAACCCCTGTTTCGGTGGGCCCACACAGGTCCATAAACACTGTCCGTGGCGTAATTTCTGATGATGATCTTACTGAGCTTTCTGAAAGTGAGCTGCTCGAAGGTTGGCAGGACCAGAACGTGGTAAAAGTCCAACGAATAAAAATAAGACGCAACAACAAACTGACCCCTACAAAACCCGTAATAATTACCTTCGGAACAAGTGACCTACCAGAATCAATCGAAACCGGCTATTGTAAGCTTCGCGTAAGACCATACATTCCCAACCCTCATCGATGTTTCAAGTGCCAACGTTTCGGTCATGGATCGCAGAGTTGCAGAGGGCGTGCCACTTGCGCAAAGTGCGCATCCATTCAACACATATCAGACAACTGCACCTCAGAAACAACTCATTGTTCGAACTGTGAAGGAGATCACGCTGCCTACTCACGATCATGCCCCGCATGGAAAAAAGAGAAACAAATAGTAGAACTTAAAGTTAAATTTAATCTCACATTCCAAGAAGCGCGCCAACGCTTCGCAATACACAACCCATTTTATCCCTCCTTTGCAAATGTGACGCGCCGGGGCGCCGCGCCACATGCCTCGGCACCCGCGAATGCCACACAGTGTGTGGCCGCGGTCGTGCCACCAGCGCCCCCGGCTGGAGCAGCCTGTACTGCTCCGCCACCTGACAAACAGGGCCGGCAGACCCTAGTGTCTGCTGAACCTCGGACCACTGCAGGCGCAGTCAGGTCCGAAAGTTCAGTGAATGTGCCTGCCCAGCAGGCACCATCCACCACCTCACATGAGGTGATGGATACAAATCCCACTCCTCCGGCGCCTCAGACGCCGAAGGATAGGCGCAACTCCTTGGAGCGCGCCAAAAAAGAAAAACCTTGAATCACAGGGCCCTC